CAATACAAGAGGTAAAAGCCAGGTCAAGGAGGGAATTCCTATAAGATGCATTAACAGTATCTCTAGAAAGTAATTGAAGATTATGCTAGCGCAGTGTACTAATAATCTTAAAGGGACACTATAGTCACCTGAACAACTTTATCTTAATGAAACAGTTTTGTGTATAGAACATGCCCCTGCAGCCTCACTGCTCAATTCCTCTGCCATTTAGGAGTTAAATCCCTTTGTTTATGAACCCTAGTCACACCTCCCTGCATGTGACTTGCGCAGCCTTCCATAAACACTTCCTGTAAAGAGAGCCCTATTTAGGCTTTCTTTATTGCAAGTTCTGTTTAATTAAGATTTTCTTATCCCCTGCTATGTTAATAGCTTGCTAGACCCTGCAAGAGCCTCCTGTCTGTGATTAAAGTTCAATTTAGAGATTGAGATACAATTATTTAAGGTAAATTACATATGTTTGAAAGTGAAACCAGTTGTTTTTTTCATGCAGGCTCTGTCAATCATAGCCAGGAGAGGTGTGGCTAGGGCTGCATAAACAGAAACAAACTGATTTAACTCCTAAATGACAGTGAATTGAGCGGTGAAATTGCAGGGGTATGATCTATACACTAAAACTGCTTTATTTAGCTAAAGTAATTTAGGTGACTATAGTGTTCCTTTAATTTTAATAATGACAGGAGGCGAGTATTTTGCATAAACTTTCTTTACTAACTCCATAACAGCAACGTCTAAGCATATCCATATTACTTCCTCTTGACAAATGCAACATCACAAGTACATAATTCAATGAATAACATATCCAGTCCAACCTGGAAAACCGTAAGGGAATCGATTCCTCCCAGCAATTTCGATGATTTGTTTAGTTAGTCGTGAGATATGGAATGTGACTCCTTCCGGGCCGATAGTAAAGGCGTCCGGATCGAACGTTCGAGACGGGACAAAATGAAACCAGGCACAATAGGAAGGTAAACTTGGCCGTCAATTGTGTTAAGGATAGTAGTTCGTTAGGGGGCCACCCTCTCAGGAACTGGAGTGCAATGTCCACATTCCATAGATGTTGGTATTTAGGTGCTGGATGTTGTCTCAGTTTGATGCCTTGTAGTAGTCGACAGATCAGAGGATCCTGCCTGACTGCTCTTCCTTAGGACAGTACATGGGCTGCCGATATAGTGGACCTGATGGCGTCGACTTACCTTCCTCAAAGATTGACGAGAGGAAGTTCATGATATCAGTAACAGGAGCTGTAAAGGGATCCAGGTCCCGTCCCACGCACCAACTGGTCCAAGATCTCAATGCAGATAAGTAGCTATTTCGCGTTCCAGGGGTTCAGGAGTCACACAGTAGATCTCTAGTCATTGTCGATAAGTCGTTGCTATACCATGCTCCCCTGAAAGAGTCCAGGCTACCTAGGACAGGCATCCATCCAGAAGCATAGGGTGTGGATTCCCTACTGGATCCCTGAGTAGGGTAGAGTTGTTCGCAGGAGAATTGGATCCTCGCAGGACATCTTGAGGAGGTCTGGGAACCAGGGTTGGCTCGGCCAGAGGGGCGTCAGAAGGGTCAATTTCACTACCCATCTCCGGATGTGTGGAGAACTCTCAAAATTATAGGAAATGGGGGAAAGGCATAAGCCCCATGTGTTGGCCTGTGTTGGGTGAAGGCGTCCACCGCCGTGCATTCCGGATCTGGAAGCCAGCTGTAAAACTGTGGCAGTTGATGGTTGTTGCGTGAGGCAAATAGATCCAGTAGTAATGGCTCTTTCTGTTCGTTCAGGTAGGTGAATATCTGTGGGTTCAATTGTCAGTCGCTGGCTTCTCTCCAGTGTCGGGAGTACCAATCTGCAGTAAGGTTCGACTCCCCTGGTAGGTGTTCTGCTCTTGTTGCGTGGGAGGCAGTAGTCAAAGATGTACTTCGTCAAATTCACCAGTGTTTGTGAACGAGTCCCTCTCAAATGATTGATGTACCGTACTGCAGATACGTTGTCCATCCGTAGAAAAATGCAACAATTGGATTGTCCTTTCACCAGGCTGCATATAGCAAATGACCCCACTAGTAGTTCCAGGCAGTTGATATGCATCGAGAGTTCCTGGGTTTTCCACGTTCTTCCCGTGGATGCTTCCCCATCCGTGGCACCCCATCCTAGTTGGCTTGCGTCCGATTCCAGCACGAAGTCCGGGTGGTTGCCGAAGATGGTACAACCATTTCATGCTTGCATGCAGTTGAGCCACCACGAGTTCTTAGCGCACCTCGTCTGTCAGCGGAACTAGTTGGTTGTAGGTGGGGTTCCGTCAAAGGAAGCTGGCTTTCAACCGTTCCATGGTGTGGTAATGCAGGGGGCCTGGAAATATGGCTTGTATTGATGAGAAGAGTAGGCCAACGATCCAAGCCAGTTGTCAGAGCGGGATGGAGTCGAGCTTGAGTACTCTGCGGATCTCTTTCCTGATGGCCGTCACTTTGGCAGACGGGAGGTGGAGTGTGCAAGACCTGGAGTCTATCTCGAAGCCCAGGAATTGGATATTTCACATGGGAGTCATTGCGGACTTGGCCCTGTTGACGATGAAACCCAGGGACTCCAACAATTGTACCATATGGTCGGTATGTTGCAAGGCCCGTTTGTTCATTCTGCAGAATAGGAGAATGTCATCCAGGTAAATGATACATCTGATCCCACAAGTTCTAATGTGGGGTACCACTGGTTTCAGAATTTTGTGAAGCACCATGGTGTGGAGCTTAGCCCAAAAGGAAGGCAAGGGTATTGCCATGGGAAGCCGTGCCATAGGAACCGAAGGAAGGGATGACTGTCTTCGTGAATTGGGATTGGCAGGTATGCATCCTTGAGGTCTAGGTGCGTAAACCAGTCTCCTTCTTGTAGGTGTACCTGTTGTAAGTGTATGCCCTCCATCTTGTAGTGGCGGTATGTAACGTGGGCGTTCAGTTCTCTTAAATCTATCACCGGTCTGAATCCTTGGTTTTCTTGCGGATGAGAAGCCCCCTCGCTCGTGCTCGGGTGGTATAGCGCCCTTCGTGCATAATTTGCGGAGCTCCAATTCTATGAGATGAGCGTCCATGATGGAGAAGCATAGGGTAAGAGGATGGTGCCTCTGTACGGGGAACATTCGTAGTTCAATGTGGTAACCGTTGACCATCTGTAACACCTAAGCATCTGTGGATAGTTTTGCCCAATTCTGGGAAAAAAGAGAAACACGGACAGCAGTCATGGTTAGTTGAGACATTGATAAGTGTTGGTCTCTTACCTGTGGGGAATCTTGTGTGGGCATGTCTGCGACCACCAGGTCCTCTGTCTGTGCCCCTTTGGTAGTAGGGGTAGTTTTGCCTAGAGCCTGTGTCCTGGTAAGGTTGCTGTGGGTAAAACTGCTGTGGGTGTCCCATATGGGGGCCCGATGGCCAAAATCAGCTGGTGGCACAGCCCCGTTGCCGACCAGCCCTGGAAAAAACACCCCTTGAAGGGTTACCTCTGAAGATTTTACGCATGGTGAACACGATCACGTGTTTGTTAAGTTCTTTCATAAAGGCTTTACCAAAAAGCTTACCCTGGGCCTGTGGGCCCAATTCTTTTACCCCCAGATCGTCCAGTTTGGGGTCGATGCGGAAGAGTGTTGTGCGGTGCTGCTCTGTCGAGAGGGCCGCATTGGTGTTCTGGAGAAAGCAGAAACCCCTTGTTACAAACTGCCATTTGTAACTGTTATTTTATTTGACAAATTGCCCTGCTTCCCTGTGCTATGGAGAAGCCTAATTGCCAGCCTTCTGCCCCATGACTATGGACCTAGTGTGTATGGCGATTTGACTGTATTTGTGGGATATGAGCGCTGTTTGGATATATTGAGAGCTCAGATCCAAGCCATCTGGGGATAGGTTGAATGTGGGGGTTCTGTTCAGTATGATAGGAGTTATGCATTTTTGTGTCTTTTTGTGTCTTTTGCTAACATGTGGTTAATGGAGTCTGCCTCTATCCCTGGATAATTGGATTACTTTCCCCATTGTCCAGGATAGAGGGCTCTGTAAATCCGGTTTGGGCCAGAAAACCATGCTGCCAGCCAGGCCCCAAAAGATACTTTTGCTAACTTTTGAACCCCTTGTCTGATTTGTGCCAGTTTTTAATATGTTGCTCCCCTGAATGGATTGATTCTAAATATGTATTTTTATGAAGATTGGATGTGTAGTTTGGAAGTTATAGTACATGTATAAAAACTGTATTTTTACTGTTCTGTTTTAATTATGTTATGTGTTTATCTGAGGGATGGGAATTTCCCCGAATGTATATTGTTCCGATTGGTTATACTGCTAATTATGTGGGTGTCTCCCTTGCATGGGCAGAATCTCATAAAAGCAGAGTGTGTGCCATTAAACATCAGATCTTCTTGACCCTCTAACTTGCAGCCTTGACTCATGTTTGTAGGGGACAGCTATAATCACTACAGGGATTGCTATGCTCTTCATACTCCCTTAGCTACTGAGCTCTTGTAAGAGCTCTTGTTCCTGATCCTGCTTCGCTCTGCAGAAGGAAGAGGTTCACCTACTGGAACCTGGAGCCTGGTCGTGGGTCCAGGGCACAGAGCAGACGGCGAGATACCAGCCCAGCAGCGGTGGTTCGTGGAGTCTGCAGTACTTATGGTGGCTAGGCAGTAGTTATGGTGTCTACGGTGCTGATGGTCCTTTGGTGAGCGCTAGGAGCATCCTTTTCTACAGTCCAACTTCCAGCCAGCCTGGAGGCAACCGTAACACCCCTCTGGGTCCATTCTCGGATATCATGTGCCCATTCATGCACCATGTCCGCAGTAAACGAGTCTGCTCTGTCATAAGCATCATCTGCCAGGTACATCACACAGGCCAGCGGCCCCATTGCGTCCAGAAGCTTGTCTTGCGCCCATTTAAAGCTTCACTCGACCCCTCTGCGTGGGTTGTGACCCCCTCGTTCCTTATGGGCCAGCATGAGTTGGTCAAATTCTGTTGTGAACGCCACCTAATCTGGCAGGGATGGCCTGGGGCACTCCGCCCTCATCCGTTTGCGGACGTGTTTCTCCAGGGGTTTGTGGATCCAAAAATGCATGAACCTGAAGAGATGGTCAGACGGGGCCCATTCCCCAGAGTGAAGGTGCCTTATGTTCCTAGGGTCGAACATTCTCTGACCCGTAGCGTCCAGAAATATCTCCTGTTCTTGCGTAGCGGATGTAGCAGACGAATCCGCATCCCCTGTACACTGGGGTTCACCCAGGAAGGTCTCCCCAATCGCCTTCATCGGAGTCTGAGACCTCTGCCTGCCACCCGTCCAGGATGGAGTGGGGCATATCCTTGTCCTTGTGCGAGGAAATCTCCTGAGTATATGTGGGGGCCGCGGTCACAGGGCGCCTACTGTGCTTCAGCTGTGTCTTGCCTTTGCTGGCGACCTTTTTCGACCCCTCGCCCTTTCAGTGACGTTTTTCCGAGCGTTGTCTCTCCTTAGAGGAGTCATCTGACTCATCTGAGTCCTCCCTGGTGTGGGTATGTGTGCCAACTGGCTTGCTAGTCTCAGAGGCCGTTGGCCACCGCTGATTTGATCAAGACCTGAAGGTCAGTTGGGTTTTTTGTGTCTTGCATAGTTCGGGCACTGAGAGGCACAGGTATGAGAGGTGGAGGGACCATGTGGGAGGAACTTTGACAGGCCATAGGCTGTATAATACTTAACGCCTAGTGGCATGAGAAAACAGACTCTTTAACATTGGGGCTCACCCAGGAGATCAGAACTTCTTCAACAGATTCCGTTAGGCAGCCCTCAGGGAATTACCCAAATGAGGGCTCATTCCTTGCCAGACTACTAGGGTATGCCTAACAGGCAGTCCCACTCCCCAGGGGTAACAACAGGTCCCTATGGGAAAAGGCTTGAATTTACCTCTGAAATTGGGTCGAAAAACCTTCAAAATGAGAGCCTTGTCTTGCTGAAAGTGATCCTCCGCCGAAACTACAGCAACAAAATGGCCGCCGCAGGTCTCACGAGAGACCCAGGCTATCTGACAGGAAAAAGCCAGTGAAAGGCTTTGCGGGTAAAGTGAGGAAAGACAGGGACTGAGTGAAGCGTTCGGCAGAAAGTTAACGAACAGCCATTCGTGGTGAAAGAACTGCCAAACGTCCACGGTTTTGAAGAGTCCACAAACAGAAGATCTGCATTGAAATTGACCGTTCGTACAAAAATAGACGAAAGGGTTAGCCTGTGCTGGCCCGTTCGTGTAGAGAGGCACGAAACCAGCGAGTGCCCGCTCTGTTTGCACAAATTATAGTGCAAACAGGCGGGAGAAGGTGGGAAAAAGACAAACGCAGAGTTCTGGCATTCCGTTCGTGCTGAAATGCACAAACTCAGTGGCTGCCCGTTCTGTTCGCACAGAATACAATGCGAGCAGCGCGTGAAGGTAAGGTGAGAGTGGCGAAAGTAGCCACCAGAGGGAGGGCGGAAGGGAAAAACTATGCTGCCTCAGAAGAGGGTCTGAGGGGAGAGGGGATAGCCCCCTCAACAGTTAACAGCCCTATAGTAGTACAATAACTAAGGGATCCCTGCCACCACTGGGAAATGTAAACCTAAACACAATCATGTCTAACAGAAGACAGTATCACAATTAAACAGTTATACAGTTACGGAATCAGTACTCTGACCTGACTTGTGATGGAGCAGCAAAGAAAGAGGAAGTGATATGGATATACTTAGACTTAGATATACTCTGACTACATTCTGATTGGTTCTTTATTTCAAGTGGTTTTTTCCTTTGCTGACAGTTGAGTTAATAAAGACAGTTTATGCAAAATATGAAGCCTCCTGTCATGTTGTAAAATTTGTTTTAGAGCAGCTGTTCATGCCTTTCCTGAGCATAATATACCACCAATATACCAGTGACCTGGAAAGTATGGTGGAATAAGTTCTGATGTAATGTGAAAAAATGAAGAGACACATTTGAAGCAGTGGTTGAACAACACATTATTATTATTATGTTATTTATATAGCGCCATCAAATTTCCGCAGCGCTTTACAATGGGTGGACGAACAGACATGTAATTGTAACCAGACAAGTTGGACACACAGGAACAGAGGGGTTGAGGGCCCTGCTCAATGAGCTTACATGCTAGAGGGAGTGGGGTAAAATGACACCAAAAGGTAAGGATAGTATTAGACTAGTGACAGTTGCAGAAGAGGAATCAGTCGGGAGCTATTAAATATTACACAGTGTCATGATTTACTGAACAAAAATAAAGCCACAATGGAGAAGCTCCATTACTCCACTGTTTTAGACAGTAATCTCAGATGTCCCACCTTGAATCTGTTGAAGCCACTCCCCCAACTTGAGAGTCACATAATCATAGCATAAGCATAGTTGCTGGATATGTATATATTAATAATGGCAATGTAATAATTAAAGAATATATAGATTTATATATGTGTAATGTGATAATTAACGAATGTTAGTTTAATTTTCCTTATTTTATATCCCTCTCATTGATGCCATTCTATTTTTTTTTTTTACCAACATTCTTTTAACCCATGTCTATTTTGATTCTATTTTACTTTGGACTTCTCTTTTCACCAGTCCCCTCAAATTCCCTTTTATTCTTTTACATCTTTACATTACCAGAGGCATGGTCCCAATACACTCGTATATTACTGGGTGTGCTGTAATATCCTAGTACACATTGAACAATTCTGGCTGGCTCTACAATATCCCAAGGCAGTGTTTGGACAATATAGGAAGAGTGCTTACAAGCCTCCATAGCTTCATAGCCAGTGGTGTATTTTGGTTTTGTGCTCCCCCAGGCATGACCAAACTTGGGCATTCCCCTAATTTACCACACCCCTTCCTGTCAAAGCCACTCCTCTTCCTGTTTAAGAACAACATGCACTTTGACTGACAGACACACTCCCTCACTGATACATGCAAGTTACTAGTTCCTGATTTCAACTTTCCACCATCTGGAAAACATACTTACCGTGGGACTCCTCTTATGGAGAAAGGCTGTCTATGCCCTTTAAGGAGACATAAATGCTCTATAAATCCAGAGCTAACTTTAAAGGGCTCAAAAAATTGTGAGTGTTTCGAGTTCTGAACCTCCCTCTTATTCAACATATATACAGATTACACTATGTTGTGTTTTGTTTATATTTTTGTATAGTTAAACTATACCATCCTTTATCAAGTATACCATATATTTAAGGAAAATTACACCATCCTTTATCAAGTGTACTATATATTTAAGGTAACTTCCTTTTTTTGTGTGTGCTTTCACCTTATATCCTTTGTTTAAATCCTATTTCCACACAATGGTTTATATTGGCCCAGTATATATTTGTAAAATGTTATCATATCCCCTCTGCGGCAACGTTTTTTTAAACTAAAGAGGTTTAAATTTGTTAAGCTTTCTTCATAGCTAAAATGATCCAATTTATTTATTACTTTTGTTGCCCGACTGACATTTTTGTAGTGCCACAATACCCTTCTTTAGAACAGGTGCCCAAAATTGCACAGCACATTCAAGATGTGGTCTTACCAGGGATTTATAAAGAGGCAAAATGATATTCTCATCCCGAGAATGAATGCCCTTTTCCATTCATGACAATACCTTACTGGCCTTAGCCACTGCTGATTAACATAGCACATCGTTGCATAGTTTGTTGTCTATAACAAGTCCCAAGTCCTTCTTGTGTGTTGTTAACCCTAATTCGCTTCCATTAAGGGTATAAGTTGCTTGTGCATTTTTTACAGCGAAGTGCATAACTTTGCATTTTTCTACATTAAATTTAATCTGCCATGTGAGTGCCCTGTCCCCCAGTCTATCTAAATCCCTCTGCAGCAAAGTAAGTAATCTGCAAACACTGAAACATGACTTTCAATGTTTTTTTTTCAAGATCATTTATAAACATGTTAAATAAAAGGGGTCCCAGAACAGAACCCTGAGGGACACCACTTGCCACCTCTGTCCAGCTTGAAAATGTACCATTAATGACAACTCTGTGTACTCTTTTTTTAAGCCAATGTTCTACCCAAGAAGAAGAATTTTTATCTAGACTAATTTCTTTGAATTTAAACACTAATCTGTTGTGTGGAACTGTATCAAACGCCTTGACAAAATCCATATAGATCACACTCACTGCAACACTCTGATCTATACTTCTACTTACATCTTCGTAAAATGCAATCAAGTTTGTTTGACATGACCTGTGCTTCATAAAACCATGCTGATTTTTGCTGATAACTGCGTTCTTTTCAAGGAATTCATAAAAATTATCCTTTAACCTTTAAAATACTTTCCCAGCCACAGAAGTTAAGCTCACAGGTCTATAATTTCCAGGCAAGGATTTTGAACCCTTTTTAAATATAGGAACCACATCTGCCTTCCTTCAATCCTCCGGTACACTTCCTGAAAGAAAAGAATCTTGAAAGATTAAAAACAGAGGTACACTTATTTCCACACTTAGTTTCTTAAGTACACATGGGCGAATACTTTCAGGCCTTGGAGCTTTGTTTATATATTATTTTTTGTTTTCCTCTCACCTTGTATTCTGTAAAACCAATTCTTGTCAAGGTACTAATGTTACAAAGTTTGTATTATTTAAACTGATAAAACGTAAAGAGAATATAAATAAGAAAAATACATTTAAAAAACAGTGAAGCATTTTTATTTGCCACTGTTCAAAGTACATCCTAAGCACTTTATATTAACTCTACACTCCATACCCCTAACACTTGCTTGCTGAATTAATTAATGTGTGAAGAGTGTACTCCCCTTCCATTTTTCAAAAAGAGCAGATTTGAATATGAATTTACACTTTTGTAAATGAACCTGCTTCAAATGAGACAACAGGTCTCATTATTTCATTTCTCAGTGGAGCTAAACTCAAGACGCAAGCAATTGCTCAGAGCACCTGACTTCTCATTGCACTACATTGGAGTGTCATTGAGCTGCATTGGAGAGTCTCTGCCATGTGCATGGAACAAGAACCTGGTCTCCTATTTTCGCTATATCGATGATCTCTCTTTTATCTGGGATGGTACTGAGGAAGATCTTAAATTTTTCTTAGATTTTCTCAATAGTAATGACAGAGGAATCATTTTAACTCCAGACTATAGTAAACAAAGTATTCATTTGTAAGACCTTCAAATTTGTATAAAATAATTGTAAATATACACAAAACCCTTTTTAAAAAAAGTCCATACTAATGCTTTTATAGACCAATCAAGCTGCCACTATCCACCATGGTTAGACAGAATACATAAGAGTAGATTTTTGAGACTCAAAAGAAACTTTAAATATAGGAGACTTTAAAGAACAAGCTTGAGAACTAAAAGAAACATTTATTGAAAAAAACTTT